TCATCTGGGGCTGAGAATCATGGGCCAGAAGTATTTCTTAAATATCTTAATGCCAATCACTGAGGATTGCCTTCAACAAGTAAATTATAGTGTGAATCCCTGAATTGGAGAAATACAACAATTTACATTTAAGTAGCCCTTTTGGTGTGCAAAGCCCGTGCGCAGTGTGTGCTTGTGGGTGCCCCTCCGAGGTAGGTGGGCGTGCTGCTGCTATCATGCACACTTTGCAGATGAGAATCTAGAGTAGGCGGCCCAAAACCCCGTGAAGGGAGATGACGCTCAGGCCGAGGCATGGAGGAGATCACGGCCAGTTGTCCCCGGGCACTGGAGGGGCACAGCTGAGAAGAGCCAGTGGTCGGTGAAAGAGGAGAGCAGGGGTGAAGGGTGCCTGACACAAACAGGGAAGGAAGAAGAAACTCGGCAGCGCTGAGGGGCAGGGGTGGAGACAGAGCCTGCTAGAATAACCAGCTCAGTCAGGAAAATGGAAACTGTTCAAGTGGTTGGAGTGGATGCAAAGCTATCTTTTGAATCAGTTGAGACCCCAGCTTGTCACGGGCTGGGAAGGCGGGATGGAGAAAAATCGAGATTTTTCCAGAGAATCCATGTTGGTGAGGAGGAGGAAGCCGAGACCAGAGCTGAGCAAACACCAGGATCTCACACGGAAAGGGCCCAGAGTTCCCAGGGACATAACGCACTGGGAAGGTGTGAGCAGAGGGAGGCGCCTCAGGATCGCAGTCAGGGCCCGGGGTGGGAGTGGGGCCAAGGGAGAGAGATGCAGCGAAGCTCTCCGCGGAGGGGGAGCTGCCCCAGGTCGGCGTATGGCCAGGCATCCTGGGTGCCCTGAAAGGTAGATGTCCTAGGTGTCCTTGGTCCTCACTGCAGGACAGGAGAGATGGGGGTGGTGACGACAGAGGGGTGCCTGGGCTGGGGTGCTCTCCGTTAGTGGGGAGGTGGCTACAACGAAACCACCCCATCCAGACCGGGGGATGAGGTCCCGTCCTGTAGGTCTGCGCCCCTCTGTAGTGCACACGGACTAGGTCCCCAGGAAGTGACAGGCAAGTCACTAGACGCTTGAGGACACGCAGACCTGGTCCCCTGGTGGGGTGCTCCCAGGCTAGGCGTGGGTCCCCGACAACAGGCAGCCACGTGGCACATCCTTGCTCCACTGTCTTCTTTTTAACGAAATCTGAATCATAATGATTTTCCTTGGATGTATTGTATGCCTGACAATCAAATCACTACAGAATCAGTTCTTTGCAATCAATGTTTTTCTAATGAATTTTGCATTTCTAATGGCAGGATCCGACACTACCTGTTTATTCTCTCTCTTGCCCTCGGCTCCCTCCCCTGCCTTCTTGTTTGAAGCAAATGGCAGAAGAGGCCGCAGGAGCAAATGCGGGTCTGGCCTCAGTTTCTCCTTGTCCCTTCCCTCAGCACCCCTCCCTGGGAAACCTAATGGGGTGTTTCGGGAGTGATTAGAATGGTTTAAATAGCCCTGCTAACAAGGTTTGTCAGGAAAGCCCCCAGAGTCTCAGGGGGTGCACCCCACTTATCTATTACATCCTGGGCAAGAAGGGAGTGGGGAAGAGAGGCCTGGAAATGCAGGGATCCCTCTCTCCAGCCCCACTCCACTCCCAACATCCTCCTGAGCCCCCCTAGTGCACAGAAGTGATATTGAATGAGATACAGAATAATTTTTCATTTCAGACTTTCTGTGGCATTTCTGGGCAAAAGAACATAACTGCTATTAAAATAAACATTGGAGGGGGAAGCAGAAGAATGACTCCCAGCTCAGAGCTGGTTCCTGAAGCCCAGATTCTTGAATGAAAGAAGACAACGAGGGCCTGTAAACTAGTGTTCCAGAGATGTGGCTCGGGCAGACCAGGAGCTAGACATGTAGACTCATCGTGGAAGGCATGCTAATCTGCCTCCCCCGACCCGCGCTCTGATCCCTGGAAACTGAATATCGAATTAACCAGCTGAGCTTGAGCGAGGGAGAGTAGCCTGAACTGTCCAGGTGGGCCCCGTGTAATTCCGGGGGCCCTAAAAGTGGAAGAGGGATGCAGACGAGGAAGTTGGGGGGAGTCCATGTGGAAAGCATCACTGGCTTGAATATGGAGGAAGGGACCACAAGCCAAGAAATGCATGTGGCTTCTAGTAGCTGGAAAAGGCAGGAAAATGGATTCTTCCCCAGGGCCTCCAGCAGGGAGCAGAGCCCAGTGAACACCTTGATCTTAGCCAGTGAGACCTCGTGCGGACTTCTGACCTCCAGAACTGTGAGATAATGCATTCGTATTGCTTCAGGCTACTGAGTTTGTCATGATTTGTCACAGCAGCAATGGGGAACTAATACAGAAACCCACGCTCCTCACGTCCTGAATCTGGCTGATATAATGGAGGAAGGCCTGAGGCACATTATAGTGGATTCTAGTAGACCATGAGGAGTATTCTTTAGTAGATAAATAAATGTGCAAAACATAATAAGAGCCCAGAAAAGGAGCCTGTTGTGTGTGGGATTCTTGGGGTGAAAGGGTTTAGACTCAATTTTATTCCCACAATGGCAGGTCAATCACTAGAATCCCGTCCACTCAGAGCGAGTCTGCACGCAGCAAGCCCGTCTCTGCCTCCAGGTTCCTCTGTCCCCAACAGCCGTCTCAGTCTCTGTCCTTGGAGCTGCCATCACTCCAATCTCTGTTCTCCTGCAGCCATGCCACCGTGTCACCCAGAGTATTGGGCAGAGCTCTTTATATAGAGTTGATAGCAATGTATTGCCCGCATCTGTGTAGTGAGCTAGCTGACCAAGGCCAGGTGAGAATCCTGGCCACAGGAGCTGTCACTTTATCCGTACGTGAGTCTTTGAGGCCCCCAAGCCAGCCCTCTTCTCTGGGCCCCTCACTGCCATGAGGAAGGAAAGTGTCCCTTCTACATACCGCCCCCTGCTCCTGTCTTCCACTCCCACCCCAGTTAGGAGCAAAGTCTTTGGAGTGAGTCAGGCTGGAACTGAATCTGGCTTCAACATTTCCCAGCCAGATGACCACAGCTATTTGCCAAACCATCCAGATGCTCATTTCTTCCCCTTTAAAGGGAATGTACTAACTAACCTCTGCAGGCATGAAGCGAAAGCTCAGCAGATATCCTATGTCCCAGCATGGAGTCGTTTTGACAGCATGCCCTGGGGTCTCTCATATGGTACCTCCCCCTTCCTTGTTCTCAGTGGATGACTTTGCTTCCTACTTCATTGAGAAAACCTAAGCAATCAAGAGAGGTCTTCCACCAGCCCCTGCCCGGCCCCTGCCCACACCCCAGCGTCTGCCCCCTCTCATTCTGCCCTGGGCCCGTCCCACAGGCCGCTGGGATGAGTGTCTGCGTTCCTACCTGAACCCAGCTCTTCCACATGCGTGTCCTAGTCCCTTTCCCTCTCCCCTCCAGCAGTTCTTCCCTCTCTAACACGTTTCCAGTTCTCATCTGGGGTGCTGGACCGTTCCCATGTGCACATAAACATGCTATTCTCTGATGTTAAGAAAATCCTCTCTTGATCCGTCCTCTCTTCCAAGCTACTGCCTGTATCTTTGTTTCTGCCAACATCGAACCCTCCTCGAAAGAGCTGTCTCCACCCAGGAAGGCCTTTCACCCACCAACAACCTGTAGCCCTGAACTGCTCTGATGGAGGCCACTGGTGACCTCCTTATTGCTAACCCTGTGGACAGTGTTCCGCCTGCATTTGCATGACCTCTCGGTGACACCTGGGTCCGGGTGGGAATGCTCTTCTCTTGATTCCCACATGTGACAGTCTCATGGTTTTTCCTATCTTGCCGATGACCCTGTCTCAGTCCCTTTGCTTTCTGATCTATTCTTGTAGGTGTCCTCGTGTTGAGCTTCCCGTGAGCCCAGGCCGGACTCCATAGTCCTCTTCTCAATACACTCCTTCTCCTGGGGAGCTCACCTGGTCTGGCTTCTCGAGATACTGGCTCCACACTGATGGTTCCAATGTTTACTTCCTTCCTGCCCTTGAGGCTTGTGTGTACAACAGCCTCAAGAAGCCTCACTGCCCTACTTAGTAGTACAAAACCCCGCATTTGCTTGAATTCTGATAGGCTTCCAGATTCAACACGGCCAAACAGGACTCCTGACCTCCCCTGCTCCCTGTCCCAGATCTGTCCCATCTGCAGCTTCGTCTGTCTCCGTGGATGATGACTCCAGTCTTCCAGTTGCTTAGGCCAAAAGATCTGCCAGGAGACACTCTACTTTGGGATTTACTTCTAAAAAATAAATGGAATCTGACTAATTCGCACATTACCTCTTTTGCTCCCACCCAGTTGGAGGCCACTCACCTCATACCTGCCTCACTTAGGAGCCTCTCAACAGGGCTCCTGATTCTTGCTCCCATCCCCAACATAGAAACTAGAACGGCTCTTCAGGAGGCTTAGAAAGGCCATGCCCCTCCTCTGCTCAAACCCTGCGGTGGCTCCCTATTCCTCTTCAAGTTCCTGCAGCGGCCCCCCAGCCCCCTCCTTGTATTCTGCTACTCTCACTGCGCCTTATGCTGACCCAGCAACAGTGACCTCTTTGCTGCCCCCAGGTCCTGCCCTGGGGTGTTTGCTCTGTTCCCTCATCTCAAACCTCTTTTTCCGGGTATCTGCTTGGCTACCTCTCCCCTTTCCTTTCAATCTTTTTTCAGATCTCACCTTCTCAGCAACCCACGCTGACCATTTACTTAAAACTGCAAAACCTCCCTGCGTCTGCAATCCCATTACCTTCTCACGTATTGATTTATTTACTTAAAAAAAATCATGTCTATTGTTTAGTGTTTGCCTCTCTCTGCAAGAATGTAAGCCCTGTAAAAGGGGAGTCGTTGTCCTCTGATATCTGCCTGGCATCCAGAACTATGTCCAGGTGCAGAGTAATCACTTTGTACTTGTTGAATGAATTTGGCAGGATGACTCTCTGACTTCCTTCCAAGTCTTTCCTTTTTATTTTTTATTTGATTTATTTTTGCCAGGGGCAGGAGCAAACAGGAGACGGTGAGTGCCCACACACAGTGCAGGTCTCCATGTTTTTCTCCTGGCTGACCACCCTCTGGACTGGCTGATACACCTCATTCAGGTACTTTATCTCCATTTAGGATGGGTTCTTCTCCTAACTGGTGTTCTTTGCCTCAAAATTAGGGACAGCTTCAGTAAAGAACTGCTGGAAAAATCTTCTAACTAGGCCTCTGATGTCCCCTTGAATGAAATAAGTAGTCATCGTGTCTCCTTGGGTGTTCCCCACCAAATAGGAGTAGGATACTCCAGTCCAAGGCCGGGGCCCTGACAGGAATACTATTGTCCCCATCCGGTTGTGCCTTAGTGCAAGGCTGCTATCTCATTCCCAGCACCACACAGGCCCACACGCGGTAGGTGTACAGTAAGTGCCTGTTACTGGAGGAATGCATGGCTGCATGACTGTCAGCGAGGCAGAGTATTGACCTGCTGAGTGGGGGCCGGAAGCTGGCTAGGCACTTTTTACTTTAAGGCTATTAGATCCATGCATCTACCCCTGAGACGTTTCTTTCCTTCACATGATGAGTTGTGGCTTGATCCTGCTTGGCCCACCTTAATCCCAAAACATACCCAGAGGCAGTCAGTTTTGAAAGAAAGTAAGAAAAGGCAATTAAAAGAGTAGAAACAGGGTGCTGGCCTCCGTATCCTGGAGGCAGCTCCCAGGCCAGGCTCACTGAGGGGAGCCTTCCTTTTGTTGAACTCAGACTCAACTGCTTAGTAATCTACTTGCATGAGTGGGCGCCTGCCCTCCGGGAGAGGGGTGGCACAGGGGGTGCAGGTCTGCACGGGGCTCTTGGGGTTCTGCATGCCACACCAGGGCTCAGAGGGCTTTACAAGCAGCAGAGGCAGAACTGAAACCCCGTGGCAGCTGTCCTGCTGTGGGACCAGGGGGTGGAAGTGTCGGGATGCAGGACTATAGACCTTGAACCCTCTTCCCTGTCGACAGAGAACTGCCCAGGGGAAATCTTTAGTCACCCCAGATGGGGCACAGGAGACCAGAGAGGCTGTATACCTCTTTGGCTGCATTAAAGGATATACCAGAGCTTTAGATTATAAAATCATAAACGGCCAGAGAATCAGCTAGTCCATAGTTTCCAGAATTGTGTTCCATCGAACCCTAGTTCCTAAGTGTCAACGATCACCCTAGGAAGGAAGAAATCCTTGGTTTAAAAAGTTTGGAGAACCTTGGGTTAAATATAGTGAGCGACCCTGCTTCACTGTAGGCCCCTCAGACATGAGCATGTTTCGGGGACCTGTAAGAGGAGCTGAGTGTGTTTGGCCCCAGGACATTCCGTAGTGTGTAAATGGGAACTTTTGATGTGCAGTTCAAGGTTGGGGAGCAGATGCCCAGGCCTACGAGTCAGTGGTGGCAGCTGCACTGGGTGACCGCTCAGGTTCTCTCTGAGCCGAGCCCCACAGGGAGCTCTGAGCTTTGGGCTGGGAATGGCGTTTGCTGAGGCGTGCTGTCATCTACTGGGGAAAAGCAGGCGGTCAGGGCCAGCTGGGCCTGGGACGTGTGGACAGCGCCCCCTTTTAAACATGTCTTGGAGCCCCAGGGAAGGAAGAAGCCTGTCACTGCTCCGTTAGTGAATAAAGGACAGAGGGCTGGGTCTGTTGGCCTAATGGGAAGACACCTGCTCAGAGATTACCAGATTAGCTGCTCTGCGGAGGACCCAGCCACTGCGAAATGGCCGAGGGACTGCCTTTTCTTCTGTTTGTTTTGTTTTGTTATATTTGTTTTGTCTTGTTTTCCCAATCACAGGCTTGTAGGTTTCAGGAGAGTACACGGATGAGGATTGGGAGGCAATCTGAGGCCCTGGGACCCAGCCCCCGGCACCTGGGGACCTGAGCAGGGGCCTGCAGGATCAGAGAGACCGGGCCACCCGCCCGTTTGCCTGGCAGAGCAGGGGAGTTTCCCAGTGGGCGGGCTGGGGAGGATGGTGTGTTTTTCTTTCCCCAAGAGCCCCGGGAAAGGGAATCAATCTGAATATTCAGCTCCATAAACAATGCTGTAAAAATCACATCCATTTGCAGAGGAAGGCTTGATGCTAATGTGCCAAAACAATGATGTGCATTTGCAGCATCAAACCACGATCAATCTTCTTGCTGGGCTAGGAAGCAGCCTCTTCAGGAAGGCTGATTCCATGCTTCTGTCTTGGGAGGAGCTGGCCCTAACCCTCAGCAGTCTCTGTCCCCCTTCCTGACCCCACTCAGCTAACCGTGCATCCCCAGAACTCCCTTACTGGAGAGGAGACCCAGCAGGACTTGGGGTAGGAGCATGTGGGTGGGGTGCCAGCCAGGATAGGAGAAAGACAGCCTAGGTGGGAAAAGAAATGCACCACCCTTTGGGGTCCGGCAGACTTGGGTGTAGCTCCTATGTCCTTTGCTTTCCAGCTCTGTGACACTGGGGAGTTAGGCTAAGGTTCCAAGCCTCTTCTCTGGACCACAGAATCTGGCCTTCCTACCTCAGTGGGTTGCTGGGAGGGTTCAATAACCCCAAACCATGAGGTTTCCTGGCAAGCAGGGTTTGAACAGGAAGGGGCATTTGAGGTCCACCAGCACAGCCCCTCAGGTTTGGAAGTGGAAGCTGAGAGAGATGAAATGACTCTGCTCAAGGTCACCCAGGGAGAAAGTGGTAAAGTCGTGACTGTGAATTCCCAGCTAAGGCCCAAAGCAAAGCAGGGCCTGAGATGGCATTGTCTCAGAAGGAAACCCTCCGGGCTGTCCCGCCACTCCCCCCAGGCCCCGCTTCTGGCTCAGTCATTCAGTCACACCTCCTGCTGGGCCAGCATTCTCAGTGGGGCCCAGGCCAGGGCGAGGCTGCCTTCCTGCTGAAATAACGCGGCAGCTGTCGGCAAGGCTGAAGCAAGAGGAGAAAGCAAGGCCTTTTGCCTGGACCTCCGGGGTTGTCACCCTCAGACCTGGCTGCGAGGCCCCTGTTTGCCAGGGAGCTTGGTGATCCTCATGATTGAATCTCACTTCTCCCCTCTGTGCCCCCCAGGCACCTGGTCTTTTCTGGTGCTCACCAGGAGGGTGCCTCCTCCCTCCTTGGGGGACACTCAGAGCTTGGGGCCCACTGCCCAGACTGCTGGGGTGAGCTCCTGTCTGTCCCAGTGGGGGTGGTGTATGTGGGGTGCTCAGAGGCTCTGCAGTGCACTCTGCTCTGCAGAGTATAGTCTCTCCAGAGGCTGAGATCTCAGTGGTGCCCCATTCCTTGCATTCCCTCTATAAAAGGGAAAAAGAATGCTCAGTCCCCAAGGGGATGAGAAAATCAGGGGCACTTCCTGGAGACTCTGAGAATCTTAGAGTTGAAAGGGACCCTGAATGGAGTCGTGTGAATCTTTCACCCCCCACCCCGCACGGGCAGCAGTTCTGGCTGTTAGAAGCTCTTGCACCATTGAAGTGAGCCTTGTGGTAACTTCTATATACATCTGTCGTGGTCTTGTTGCAGCACAGTAACAACTGTTGTTTGTTGAGAGTTTACTTTGCCTCTCTCTGTTTGAAGATCTTTGCATGTCTTAACTCATTTAGCCCAGAAGCTAAGAACCATTATGCCTACTTTATAGATGAGGAAACTGGGATACAGAGAAGTCAAGAAACTTACTGTAGGTCACCCACCTGGTAAATGGCAGAGCTGGGATTTGAACCAGGCTGTTCTGGCTCTTGAGCCTGCCTTGTTAACCTCTACACTACCAAGTGAATTTGGACTCCTTTGTCTTCCAAGGAATAGCCTGTCTCATGATTGAAAGGACCTGCCATTTGTTCTGGGTGAAACATTCTCAGAGTCTTTGCCACTGTTTCTAGACTCTTTGGTATCCTAGTCACTCTCTCCTGCTCCTCTTAAAATGAGCCAGAAGAGCAAAGCCCAGTGGTCCAGGTGGGCTCCTTCAGGGTGGACTGCAGAGGGGCTATTGTTTTTCCCTTCTAATTGTGCACCTGTCAGATCTTTCTCTTCCCAGCAGCTGTACCACCATATTGAGCTTGTGGTCAACTCAGACCCCAAGATCTTTTACTCATGGATCTCTGCCAAGCCAGAGCTTATTTATCTTATACTTGTCTAATCAGTTCTTAGAACTTAAGTACAGAACTTTACTCTTAGCTCCTAGATTCCATCTGTGTGGTTTTGGCTTGTGTTCCAGCCTCTTCAGACAGTCAGATTCTGGGTCTGCCGTGCAATTAATTTTTTCAAACTTTGTCTTATACAAATTAGGTAATCATTCTTCCTCAAACTTCATCCATGCCATTGATAAAAACATTGAATGAGATGAAAGATGGGTCTTGGGGGTCAGAGAGATACTTCCGCTCAGGAACCCACTGTCTTGAAACAGAGACATTATGTTTTTGACTTGATGATTCCACGTGAATCCTTCATGACCGCCGGCTAGATTTCAGACAGAGTACGAGGCACCGGAGAAATCCGATGCTCAAGTCAAAGTCCTTACCTGGACAAGGCAGCCTGCGGGGCTGGGGAGATGGGTGCACACACAGATGGCATGTAAGGTGCCGAGCTGGATGCACGTGTGTCCGGCCAGTGGGTTTCAGCCCTGGGCAAGTTCACTATGGATTCAGTGAGACTGAAAAAATGACAGTGGAAAGTTCCTGGGGTGAAGGTTTTATACCTAACTTTCTTCCCTTGGTGGCAGGTCAAGTGCTAGAATCCCATCCACTCAGAGCGGGTCTGCGTACAGCAAGCCAGTCCCTGCCTCTGGGCCTCTCCGCCCCCTGCAGCCATCTCAGTCTCTGTCCTCAGCGCTGCCACCACTCCAGCCTCTGCTCTCATGCAGCCGTGCAGCCCACAGCACTGGGTGGAGCTCTTTACACAGAGTCAGTTACATAGTATTGCCCACACATGTGCAGCGAGCAAGCCGACCAGGGCCAGGTGAGAATCCTGCCCGTAGGAACCTTCACTTTCTCCGCAATGTGGGTGGGAGGCCAGACAAGGGACATCTCACTCAGCGCGGTGATAATTGAGTCTGACCTCCAGGAGGTGAATTTATCAGGGTTGGAGTGTTGGCGGTGGAGGGGGTGGGGTGGGGCATGGTGGCCTGGGCACCAGCATTTTTA